CCTGAGGAACCCCTGATGCCGAGGTGTGCCAGGATGATCGGATGCGGTTGACTTTGGTGCAGAATTCTCTCTCGCCTAAGTAATCTGTCAGCCATGCGAGAAGTGCTCCAGAAACTCCCGCCTTGCCTATTTTGTGAAGGAGCAGACCATGGTGAACTGTGTCGAATGCTTTCGCAAAGTCGAGAAAGATCACGTGGGCTGGTACCTTTTTGTCCCAGGATAGTGTCCAATCGTTCCAGGCTAGTAGAAGATTCGTCACGCAGGATCTTCCCCTCCTGAAACCGTGCTGTGCTTCGTGAAGAAGGTTAGTCCCATCGAAGTATTTTCTCATGTGGTCGTCAATGAGACTTTCCAATATCTTCGATACCACTGGAAGTAGAGCAACTGGTCTGTAACTGGTCACATTCTGCCGGTCACCACCCTTGAAGATAGGGGATAGGATTGCACGTTTCCATTCACATGGAAGTTTCCCTACATCAAGGGAGTGTTGGAACAGATCACTTAGGGGTTGACAGAGACTTTCTGAACACTGCTTCAGGACAGATGGTCTGATGCCATCACAACCTGGAGACTTTCCCGAAGCCAACCTTCCCAATTTTGCAAGTACCATAGCCGGGGTAATTTGAAATGTCCCCAGCAGGTTTTCGTGTGTTGGTTCTGCGATGTAATCTGGATGTTCTGTAGGGGTAATATCCTCGTTACTATTTAGTTGCCTGTGAAAGGCTAGGCTGAATGTCTCTGCCATTTCAAGACTAGTAAGAGATTTCCCATCAGAACCCACTAGATTGCATGCTCCCTGGTTGGTCGGTTTTCTTTCGGCCATAAACCTGTATAGGCTTTTGGGGTTCACGAGAAGCTTATTGGCGAGGTCTCCCTGAAATGTCCTTCTATCGCTCCGGACTCGTATGTTACATCGATTCCTGAGTTCAAGGTACACTTCATATTCGGGTTGACTCTTCGATCGTCGCCACGCGAACCAGGCTTTACGCTTTGCCTGCAGAAGGCGTTGTGTCCCCTTTTCAGCCATGATCGTTGCTTCCTAGCTTTTGGTGAGACTAAAGGAACAGTGTCTGAGACCGCCTGGTGAATGATTTCCTTTACCACTCTCCAGTGTTCTTCTACTGTTAGCTCTGTCCATTTTTTAGGCCAGTTTGCTTCAGACAGAAGTCTTCGCATTTTGGTGTAGTTGGCTTTGTTATAACACAGATAGGGCTGTGTATTGTCCCACTGTAAGCGCTCGCGGAGGACTATGTCGAATACTATGACCGCGTGGTCACTACTACCTATGGGAGTCGTGATCTGAACGTTTTCCACTAGTAGCTGGTCACTAGTGAGCACGTAATCCAGTCTAGAAGACTTCCCATCAGGGCCCCATCTAGTATCCATCTTGACATTTTCAGTGAATCCAGCCTTCCTGATGGTATGCAGCAGATTTCGATCAAATCTATCATGGGCTTTTCCCGACACCAAGTTAAGAGATGGGGCATTGAAGTCACCAGCTATGACAATTTGATCATAACCCATGTCTTGAGTCGCTGAAATTGTATTTAGCAGTACCTGGTTATGGTCTGCTCCACATGAAGGTGATCGATAAATGCTGCCCACTAGATATTTGCAGTACCCAACGGTGAAGTGGCACCATATGGAGTCAGGGAGCTCTGTGAGGGGAGGGTCCGTCGCGTGAACACATCTGAGCTGTTTGTCGACGTATATGGCGACTCCACCTCCTTCTTTCAGGTCCCTATCTCGCCTGACTAGGACCATATCATTTATACTGACTTCGCTGTCTGCCACCGTAGGGGTTAGCCAGGTTTCCGTCAGTATTATGATTTTGGAGTTTAGTTGTGATTGTAGGTGTCTAAGTTCAGCTATTTTGCCTCTTAGCCCTCTCACATTACTATACAGGCAACTGGTAGTCAGTCTCACCACTTCCCCGTATTGGGGGGTAGTTGACTTGATATTGGCTATCGGTTGAGGAGTTATCCTACGAACTAGTTGGCCGATTCCCCAGGAACCGGCCTGTTGGCGTTTTTTTCTTCTAGTTCAGTTGGAGCACTCGGATGACACTGGCTATCATCGTCCGTGCTGCACCGCTGTAGTGTGACTAGGGGTTGAGGATTTTTTTTACTACGCTTTGTTCTCTCCTTTGAGTGCGAGGCCGGCTCTCGCAGCAGCGAATGTGTTTGCTGACCTTGTCCTTGGTCTCGTACCATCTATGGAGAGCGGTAGTCAACTGGTCTTGGGAGCTGAACTTGACAGCTAACAGACGTGGCGAGTTAATTGACATAAGATGAGTGGGTCGAGGCAGTCTATAAATAGAGACAGCCCCTGAACTTCCCAGGGCCATCTGGGATGCTAACCATCTCCATTGTTGTACATCATGACAATGCTTTTCGCAGGCGTTCCCAGTTACCAGTTCGGGAATGCCATGCACAACCATGGAGGCAGAAGGAATGAGCTCTGGCGACTCCCTCGCCATTTGTCTTTCCTTCCACGGCCTGTCTGGCTTAACACGTATGTTACAGGCCCTCCCTATAGAAAGGACTTGAGAAGCCAGTAACACTTTTTCAACATCCTCGGTAGAGCCCAATGTTACCCTCAGTGGGGATGGTTTGCCTTCAGGTGCAGCAGTGCCCCTATACAATCTGCATAGATTTACTGGTTGGATGTCCAAACCCAGTGTGCTACTTAAGATGGACCACTGTTCCTGATCAAATAGGGCCCTATCTTTCAGCAGACTACTGCTACAGTCTGGTACATTAAAGAGGATTACACAATTTGATCTGCTAACCGTGGGCTTGGGCTCGGTCCTCGCACGTTTGTGATCACCTTTAAGACCGTTTTGGTTTGACTGGTGCGACTGGGTATTTTTATGTGTCTCAGTGCTATAGCCAGCATTACTGATAGACGGTTGGGGTCTTTTTCCAACGACGGAAACCCGTGGTTCTCCAGCCTCTGTGTCTGGAGCGGTTATGGCAAGAGTTACAAGTTTAACCGGTGAGGATTTTGGTATCCCCGGTTTACGCGCGTTTGTACTAACTTCCGGATTGGTGGGGGTCGAGCTTTTCACCTTTTTCCCCGCTACTTCTGTGCCATCTTTAGTTTTCAAAGGACTACGCGAGGCTACATCAGGACGGCAACTCGGGCATATGTACCAGAACCATTGGCATGGGTTTTTACGCATAAAGTCATAATATGCTTTTGGTACCCCACTGTCGCATCTGCAATGCACCCATCGGTTGCAAAAGTTACATTCGAAAGCAGAGTCTGCTTGTTCGACAACAGAAGCACAGACCTTGCAGTCGTCTGTCTTCTTGGGGAGCGTTCTTGTCGTCTTGCGACGTCGTGAACGTTTCTTTTTGGCCTTCCTATTTGTTTCATGGTCTACCATGGGGATGGGTGTTATGAAGTTCTCACTTAGTGCAATTTTCCCACTCGGATCTGTTAACCTAGTCGTGTTAACAGGGGTGGAGCCACATCCACTTGGCTGACTTTGCACAGCTTCACTGTAGGACTGTGGCGACATGGGTAATCTGTACGAGCTGGGAATATTAGCCCTGGTCTTCAGGACCGGTATGCGTGAGTCCATCACCTTCTCCTGTTTGCCTAGTTTGGCTGAAGCCCTGGTAACTACAGAGTATGATGTCCCATTACTTATTTTAGGTTGAGAATCTATTGTCATTTTACTCCTAAATTAATACTGGTGATTAAATAATAAGAGACTGTTATTTTGTCCAATAGACTTACAGGAAAATAAACTATAAAGCTAAAAGTAAAAGCTTTAGACTTTACCTGTAACTTTCGGGTTATTCGGTTTCACAGCAATCACGTAACAGACCCACAAGTCCTGTATATTTGAAAGAGTGAGGAGGGTGTTGCTACAGAAGTAGCACCTGAAGCTTTGGCAGTAGTTCGAGACAGCGGGAAGTACCACACACAGGCTCGGTGAGGAAGAAATGGTTGAATAAAAATTCGCCGGATAGGAAGATCAGGTTTCCCAAACGAATAATTCACAAAATTGGATATTTCCGGTTAGGGAGGAAAAGCACGTCTTATTCAAGGAGCGCGCGTCCCATAAATTCCTTGTTAGTGAATCTAATGCTTCTCACATCTGTGAAATTTATAAGCATGTTAACATGTTCCCTTAAGCTAAAAAATATAATGTTTATCCGCTTTTATTATTGCTATTTCAAAGCCCGCCTCAGTAACGTAAGGCACGTATTAACCGCAACGTTTATGCAAAGGAAAATCTACCAATCACAGTGTGCGTAAGTGACCTTCAAGTGCTCAGCCTCTCCATAAAGCCATTTGTGCCGCTATCCTCTATCGTCTTCTAGTTATAACGGATAAGTATTCTTATCCGTGAAATCTTCGCCGTAATCTTGCGTCCTACCTCTACTTAGTTAACTTACTCTTTTGTAAAATGACGTGTGTGATTCAATAAAATTTCAACGATTCCGTCATATTACCACCCAACTGATATGGATCTGTTTGGTTATCTTAAGTGTAAATTCATACTGGAATTTGGCGAAAAACATTTCGGCGTTGACTCACTTCTATCTCGTAATGATATAGGAATGCCGCTTATCAAGAACAATACATGATAGCTAGCTTCTCCCGAATATGGTTTATTTATTTTCATTATTTTAGTATAGCTTGATTACACACAGTATTTCGGTAGAGGTATGGAATTTTCAGCATGTAATATCGGCAGCCCAAATTGATCAGCCGAACACTGATATCAGGCGTGTCGGCCGGGGTTCTCACTCCGGACTATGTGCGTGGTCGACGAGAGTCCTAACCCTTGTGCCACCGACGTACTTTGGTTATTTAAGGATTTGTTTTTTGTTGGATTGAGTTACTTTTTGTGAGGCTCTCCGTAGGCAAAGCTGCCGATTTACTTCTGTTGAAGGGTTTTAAATGACCTTACTGAGACGTGTAGTCTTAAGCAATTGCCTGAGTAGCTGAATCTCACATCTTCCCATTATTTTTCTTTTCAAGGATTTAATAGTAACTCAAAGATTTGAACTGTTGAGTGACATTAAGGCTTAGTGCTTCAGTTACCATTCTCATGACCTTATGCAATAAAGATAAGAAAAATTGCATCATGAATCAAAGTTTAACTAGTGCGTTCCATGAGGAAGTTACGAGGTGTTTCACTTTTGAAGAATGTCTCAAAAATGTGGGTGATCAAGTAAGACTTACAGACGGACTACAAAATTTTGACTCGTAAGTTTTTCACTTTAGCATTTACGAATCATTCAGCAAACAATGTCTGGAGTCACTACTGAATATATACACATTTCCACCAATACACTGGTTTCACAGTAGTTTATATGGAGCGTTCATGGAGGCTTTAGGTATAAAAGACCGGAAAGTAAGTTCCACAATAATTCAACTAGTGTTTAGCATTCTGCCGAAAATTACAACCTAGATGTGCTTGAAGATGAAGATATAAGTTATGCATTTGACCATCATTCGTTGGTAACGTCTCAGCTGCCTGACTCATATGATGATATCGTGCAAACTGCTGATGAAATTATTAAGGAGATCGATATACTTATGGTAGGCTTAAATTTGCATATTACAAACCTCTGTAGAATAATGAAGATATCCCACTGTCATTGTGCAGTATGGTTCAGTCGGAATGTGAACAAGCGTTTGTATCAGAAAATATCCGGAGTAGCTGGCTGCACGAAGAAGGTTAAACTTACATTTCCTCACTAATATTAATAGTACTTTGATTTTCAAGACCGTTAATAGTATGTAATGTAGTTTACATGATTTCTTCATTTGTATATAGTAGTCGTGGCCCTGGGCAGCTTTAGCAATCTACAGGTTGACTTGTTACCAGCCTTTTAAACGTTAGGGTATGTGTGTGATACAGTCCTTTTAGGGTTGGTCGAACCCAAAATCGGTGTCAGCTCATGAAGTCGTTTACAGTTGGTTTGACCTACGTAGAAGGGTATGGACTGCCCATATGCGGTCTCCGAGATTCTAAGAACCAAGAATAGAAACGTGGTGACATGACTTTAAATTGTTCTCAATGGCGAAGGCGCATTTACCCTTTGACTTTCCAGATCTGTAGTCTCAAGTTCACTGCTGTTTCTCCCGTATATTCCCATTTATGATTTCCCGATTTTCTATTTTCCCCTACCTTTTATGTGCTTTTATGAAGTGTGGTGACTTGAACTGCTGCACTGTTGGGCAAACTCGTATATTGAAAATTAAGTTCAGCTTCTGATCTCGAGAGGATTATTAGTTTTTTATAATTACTAGAAACCGTAATTTTTAAGCTTATAGCTGTGTTCACTTTTTAGTTTATTCGTAATGCGAAAATGTTACAATGCATCTTGACACTTTGTTTTTCTCACCAAACACATAACAAGGATAGTTTAAAAGTAAACATCAGGAAGTAAGTAGTTGTGGGAGGTAGTTTGTCTGTTACAGTCTGTGAGATGCCGTTTTACTTCAACCAGTGTCTTGTACAGTTTTTTGTTGCTGCAGCTAGGTATGCAAATCGCATTATTATGTGCGAGTCTTCAACGTATGGGCGTTTTTAATGAAAGTAATTATTCTATGACTGTAAAGATGTTTATCCAAAACTACTAGCACGTGTGGCATCACCTCAGAGTATCTTTTGATTTGGCTCCCGACTTGGCTAGTAAATCTCATTCTTATTGAAGTCTTGTGTTTCTTAGTGACATGGAATTACCATGTGTGTTTGAAAGATATGACTAAATGTAGCATGACTTTAAATAATCCTTTCAATTATATCAATAAGTTAAACTTGGTGTTAGTTGCTTAGCAACAGACATATTACTCAATAATCACGTGTGTTAGTGGGCGTGAGTAAATGGTGTTATTTAGTTGCCCAGATCTCTGTAGGAGAAGTTTGGGTGAAATATGTGAACCATTTGTTAACGATACAGTCACTTCCCATGATCTTTTACCACAAATATAGTTGCAACGTAACTTGATTTAGAAAACATGGGTTATTTACGTCAGTAGGTTCTGCTTGAGTTGTTGCTAATTATATGTGCAAAGCAAAGTTTGATATTCTGCGGTAACAAATGATTCTCCATAATCCAATGTGATATTATGGTTCTTCACTATATTACTAGTCGTTATATTTGCTTAGAAATATTTATCACGAAAATGGCTTTTTAATTCCTTTACATTTCCAATGGAACATAGGACTTCAAGCGAGTGGTCTTAAGCTTCGGTAGAAGTGTTTACTTTTACAGGATAAAATTGCTAGCTTCATGCCCAACCTTCCCTCCTTACCAGACTTATTACTGGCTTAGCGAGGTAAAGGAATGCGTCGGCTGGGGATCGAACCCCGAACCACCTGTGTGGTTGGCGAGTAGTCTACCGCTCTGGCAGTGACTCATGAAAGTGGTTAATAGTACCATTTCTTCTGATTGTTTTAGGTTGCCCCGGTGTATGGAGTTTCGTATCTCCGTGTACCATACTGTGACTGTAGAACATTATTGTCTTGTTAAAAACTTATCTTCAAAGTTAACTTCGAAATGGTAGTGAGTTTTAATTTCTTTTCCCCTTTTTTCAAGCCCTTCAAGATCTTTCTCTCAATGAGCTTAATGCAGTTTTGGAAGAGCTAGAATCATGCGTACGGGAATATTCTGCTATTCTTGTTCAGGAGCTGGCATATCGAGAAGAACTAGATTTCGAACAAGAGCAGAAAGATATATTTATTGCACGCCTAAATGAGTTACATCGACGTCTCGAGCGTAAGCGTCGTTTAAGTGTTCCACCTGATAGTCATTTGCAAATGCTGTCAAATTCCATAAAAATGAATGATTATGGTGGGCAATGTTCAGGAGTTGGTCAGAATGCTCAATATGGAAGCAAAGCATTGTCATCAGGGACTGTTCAGAAGGAAACTGTACAGTTTATTCTGCGTATGTTGTATTTTGTATTTTTGACCTTTACTTTTGGACAATCTACTGGTATTTGTTGTCTGTTATGCTTATCCAGTCGTCTGAAACTGTTGTTTAGTTACTGTATTCTATTGCAAAACAACATGGTTCTTAGTCATTCATTATGCTATTAATAGTGAATTGTGGCTTTTTAATTTTAGGATGGATTTGATTTGCCCTATAAAACGATTGTGTTACTTGGCCATGTAGAGCGATCTAGATTGCCTTATATTTGTCGAAATCGTACGGATACATCGCGTGATAATAAAATTTTTCAAGATACTTAAATACGTTTTTTGGATTTTATAAACTGCCAATATACTTGGTTATAACAACTGCTTTTTTGGTAAGCCGCGCCACTAATCAATGATGGTCTCACAGTGATTGCGCAATACATTCAATTTAATTGTCACTATCAACTATGAATTCTTTTATCCTCAAATATGCACGAGGTCCGTGTTTTTTTTTTGTGATTACAGCTTGATTCCACACTGTATTTTTGGTACAAGTATGGAATTTTCAGCATGGATATCGGTAGCCCAAATTTGGCAGGCCGACCATAGATATCAGGTGTGCGTCGGCAGGGGATTGAACCTCGGACCATGTGCATGGTCGGCGAGGGTCCTAACCACTGTGCCACCCACGCACAGTGTCGCATTGTAAAGAAGAGACTGGTCTCCCAAGCACTTCTTTTGTGTTTTATTTACGCTGGTAGTGAAACAGCAAACCTTCCTTGCATATTACCTTTATTTTCACAATTCAAATTGTATCAGGTTTTTAAAAGAACGAGCGGAAGTTGATTTCTAAAATTTGCAATTCATTTCCTTTGTAGAAGTCCTATTCTTGATAAAGTGTAAGTTAATAGCAAATTTTTATACGATCTGAAGTTTGAAGATGTAGATTTTTACGCACCTAACGGAGAAGTTTTGTACATTAAGTCATGCTGCATATTTAATATTTTACTATATGATACTTATAGGTGCACAATCTGCAGCTCAGGCAGCGGTTGCTGCAACATCATGTGCTACAGTAGCCCTGAAAAGACATTTTCAAAGACTGAGTACGTTTTCAAAAGATGTCGCAGCTACAGTGGCAAAACAACAGGATGCACGCGATCCCATCCATACACCATCCATTCTGTCAGAAAAAGACAACCGAACTTATTCAACGACTACGTCAGCTCGAGCAATTGCTATTTCTCGTCTTCGAAAATGGGCTAGCAGAAAATTAGAAGGATCATCAGGAATGGGACAGACTAATAGTTTCAGGGCTTTTCTCCGCCGTCGACGTCAACAGAAGGAAACAGCAACAAATATTTTTCTACGTAGCCGAGAAGCTCGTTCTGCTGTTACAAGCCCCACATCATCACATTGTGATTTTCCTTCAATACCTACGAATTTAACACATTCTGCCTCCGGTCATTTGATCGGACGACCTGAAACAAGTTCAGATGATCTGGAATACAAGGTATCTTGTTATCTTTAAATTAGTATGTAAAGTGTAATAAAAAGCATTTATATTCTCTTAATAACTTCCAAAGGAAATTCGTTTACCTGTCGAAATAAATGATATGAAAATTTTCTTTTCGGCTTTTTTTCACGTTCCCCAGTGGAACATAGGGGCTCAAGCTAGTGGCTTGAAGTTTCTGTAGCAGTGTATATTTTTACAGGATGGGGTTGCTAGCCTCATGCCCAACCTTTCCTCTTTACCAGCATTATTTCTGGCCTAGCGAGGTAGAGAAGTGCGTCGGCCGGGGATCGAACCCTGGACCATGTGCATGGTCGGCGAGCGTCCTAACCGCTGCGCCACCGACGCATATGAAACTTTACATCATGTTTTAGTTTCTAGTGAACTACTGGAGCTGTTGAAATTTGATTACTTAGCCTTTGTTTCTCAATAAGTAGGAGAAGTTGGGAGAGTTCTAGGAATTTTGCATATTTCATAAAGAATGGTTTGTTTTTTACTGTCAGCATCTCATGAAGATAAATGCTGATGGTCTGAATAGTGTAGATATCCATGAACTAACTGGTTGTGTCAATTAGTGCGTTAGGGATCAATGAAAATCCCTCATACTTTACACCTGAGAAACAACTGAATTGACAAAGTATACTGTTTTATCCTATTGTATGACAACATGGGAAATTATCTTCGGTAATTGTTTTAAATCCTTTTATCGCTTCCATACCAACGTGTGTATTTAAGCGTTAGTTTTTTCTTTCTTTTAAATTGAATATGTTTTTATGAAAGCCAGTGAGTGAAAGTTCTGATGATTATTAATTTATTTGTCTATCACCATTTGTTGATTGATTGACTGCTGTTCGTTTAGGTATAAATATAGGTTAGTGTTTTCAGGATAATACTTGTAAGATTTTGCAGTGACCACAGAGTTATTTACAGTCATTGCGTCGGTGGCACAGTGGTTAGGACTCTCGCCGACCATGCACATGGTCCGGGGTTCGATCCCTTGCCGACGCACACCTGATACCTATGGTCTGCCTGCGAATTTTGGGCTACCGATATCCATGCTGAAAATTCCATACTTGTACCAAAAATACGGTGTGGAATCAAGCTGTAATAAAAAAATAAAAGAACTAATATTATCCACTGCCCATCACCTGCGTGTACTACATTATTGTACTGTTACTTCAGTAGAGTTCTGGATCTCCACTTCTAAAGCACTGTCAATGCATAGGATTGACGTTAAAATAACTTCTTTTCACTTGAGGTCTCACCCTCAAACGGAAAAGGGTATAAGCTTTTATCTACCGAGATATATTTTTAAAGTTAGTTCTGTTCTCTAACGAGGTTTAGTCTTAGTGTTGTTAACAACACCAGTTCTTTCATTATTATGGTTACATAACTGTAGAACCTGATGAAAAGCAGGTTATCGAAAAGAATATTCTTTGTTCAGTAATCAGTCTTTTGAAATTTGTAGTGAAGAATTATTGAATTAGGGGCTATCTCAATCGATTTGCGGTACATATGTATGACAAATTGTAGAAAATCCCTGTAATACTTCAAATAAAATTGTTCATTTTACTCAGTACCCTTTCACAATCTCCACATAGTTTTTGATGTATGTTTTAATTAGCTGTCCTCAATGATGTTAAAAATGTAGTACGACTATTAAATGAATCTGTTTACCTTTCTTTTACTATAAACTTGATTACGATATCATAATGGTTTTAAAGCTTAGTTTACGCTTGATTAACGTAATTTTATGAAACCTTATAATCTTGATTACCTTTTAATTGGACTATGAAAGTTAAGTGTCATCAAACATTAATCAGCAAGTAAAATACTTTCAGTTTTAAAAAGAGCGACACTTACAAACTACGCTGCTGTGTTTTCGTCCTTCGCAAATTCTATTTCTAATTATTTATTTGTAACGGACGTTTATTGAGGAAAACATATTTATACATTCTTAGCCACATTAAAGTTCGGCTAGGTCGGAGGGGAATACATTATCCTGATTGGTCGGCAATTGTTCCAATGTGTCCAATGAGATTATTTCGCGTCTAAAAGGGAAACTAAATCCAGACATGAGGAATAAACATTTCTATCTCTACAGTAATTGATTTGAAATGTGTATTTCAGTTTTCGTCGCCTGTTATCAATCTGCATCACTCCACAATTCCCAACTGCTTCAGTGGTACCGCATTTCATGATACATATATTAATATTCACCACATTGTAAAATACGTTTACTATCTTACTCACATCTTAAAAGAAAGCTACTAAAAATTATGAATACGCCTCGTTCTGTAAGTCTTAAAGTTTTTTATGTACTTAAATTGCAATTATTCTGTATTATTCATTAATTCCTATTCATTTCTGTAGTATTTAACTACATCGGTTCCCTATCATCGATCTCCCTATAACGAAGGACCTACTGTCAATCAGTTGGAACTATTCAACGAAATGCTTTTGGCTATTCTTACGAATAATCCAAATCTAACACCTATGCTTACTGATTACATATTAAATGGTGAGATATCTTTCTTTTCTACTGGTATTTATTCATAATTTCATTAGAATTTTATTTTTTTGTTATTGTCTACAAAATTCTTTTCCTTATTGCATTTTCCGCTATAAATCGAAAACATGATACTTTTGTTATTGTGGGTACCAAAGCGTTCTACACCATTAGTTAAACCAAAGTTTAAATCACCGTTGCACTCAAGCATCTAACTCCTTTCATCAAAGGGATCACGTATTAAGCATTGTGGATTTATGATAGCGTTTCATAAGGATTGGAAGAGGTTCTAAGATAGGTTGCTGCCTACTAGCTTAATAAATGTATTATTAAGACCTATGTGATGGATTGAGTGATCATGTGAAATATATTAGAATACTGTTGATTAAAATGATTACAATGAACTTTGTTTTCACAAAGAACTGGATCAGTTTATTCTCACTTCAGTGTATGTGTCGTTATTTCGATTTCTGAAATCTGATCACTCTGTTGGAATCCTTAATATGGCTGACATTTTCTGGGCTAATCTTTTACAAGAATGAATTGGTTGCTTGGGTTTGTTATTTATCTGCTTATTTATGCATACACTGGTCAAATTCGCAGTATTAAATGTTACAATTCTTTTTCGTGGGTTAGTTCTTATATGCTCCAGATCGGTTGAAATCAAAGTGGTTATAAAAGAACAAAAAATAATGTGCTATAAATGTTAAAGTGATAATGCAGAAAGTATTTTAAACTAAGGAGACAAAAGTATAAATTCTCTATGCCGTAACATTATCCATTTTTATGCAATGTCTAATAATTGTAAAAAAGCCAATAACGATTGAAAGGAAGGAATTAGTAATAATGCTTTGTGTACGCAAAAACTGGGGGTGGCAAGGTTGCCATCAACTCAGTTGGCTGAAATCAGCAGCCAAGTTAAACAAAGAACTATCCATTTCATTCCAAGCAAAATCTGTGCAGAGTTATTAAGCGAGTGCAGAACCGATTATATTTTACAGTTGAACAAATATCGAAATAATATTTTACATGAAGTGTATTACTTTAAGTATTTTCTGCGCGTTTAATATTGTAAAAGTGTTAGAGATGTCATTGAACCATCCTGCATCTAAGAGGTGTTTATTAGTTGCACTAGTCCAATATGTGCTTCTCCCTGAATATATTTCTTTTGCTATATCCTAATAAAACCTACCTTCGTGAGAATTTGAACTGTCTTGTTGGAATCCAACATCTTTTATAACGGTTTTCGTTAAGTATTTTTATCATATATGGAGTGTTTATCTGATGTTACGATTCATGGGGTCCTGGCGTTTTAAGTGGATGATATGAAGGAATTCGATAGTTAAGTTTACGAGTGGTTGCTTTGGATTTTTTAGAACTATTTTTTCCAAAAATAGAATCCTCTCTGTTTCGTGTTCTGTTAAACCACAAGTTCAGTTATGTCTTATCAATGAAATAATTGTGGTATTCTACTGAAAGTACAACTCCTTTACCCTTATTTGACAATTCTGCCAAGTATTTTGTCGCTGTTTCGATTTTATGGCTTAATGACCATTTAAGTGCATTTTGGAGACACTTTTTTGAAAACACTACAGATAACCAGTCAATTTGTCGTATAGATATTGAAGAATAATGTAGTGGATAAGTGTTTTGCTCGTCAGTTAGGTGATAATGTTACATGCTGAATTTCCTTTCAATTATTTTAAAAGTAAATTATCCTCTACTATGATTAGCGGTTGAGTTGTGATATATCCCAATCTATGTTTTCATTTATTTAGTTTACGCCCCAGCAGACCGTCGACTATCAAAACTTCCTCTATAAACCATCAGATCTGTTGATCATCATTGGTTTGATTAGCAATCAAATATGAAAAGCGTCTGGTCATTTTCTAAATAATTTCGAAGTCGTTTCGTTTGTTTTCGTCTCTTCAGAGTGCTTCTCTTTTCTACAGCCCATAGCTTTTGGTCTTTAGCTCCACCTTCTTTTGAGTCATAAGCTTTGCTTAGTTCTAATTTTCTTTCAGTTATCAAGTCTTCAAATTGATTTCTGCATAAAAACTATTTTTTTCTGTGTGCTTTACTTGTTATCTTCACAATTTTTGCATATTATTCGAAGAACAAATAATTATAATGAAAACACTAGGCGTACATTAACAACTTTACTGCTTATGAAAACTATTTATCTCAAAATATGTCTGACTCTTTGTTAGGTCGCTTAAAACATTCTATTTCGTTAATGTAGTGCATAAGTGATTTTGGTTAAACAAGCCATTTATTACAGGCAGGACGTACTACCTGGTCAATGCATACTTATTGAAGCGAAATTTGTTTGTCAATTAATATTTTACTGATTACTTATAATCTTTCATATTCCTTTCTACCACTACCCATTCTGTTTCACTCTTATACTTGTCAGACTGTATTGATTCTCTTCACTCATCTTCTTGTCTACTTCTGTGTGCTATTTGGAACGTGGCAACTCGAACTGCTGCACTTCAGTGCCAAGTTCTATGTTGAATCCAGGCAGATTACTTATAATATACATAATATGTCATATTCCAGTTTATATTTAGTGTTATTTTGTTTAAATGTTGTCCAGTTAACCGATTAGTATTCCATAGTTGTTGTATACATTTTTGGCATTTTTCAAAATATCTCCAGTGGAATCTCAATTATCAACTAACTTTCTATGCTAAGCATATATTTTTTAACCAATACTTTTCATTTTCGCTTTTACTCATCTTCATTGGAATCGAGTAATTTATATTGCATATATATATATATATATAATATTTGCTACTTTACTGTTTGCATTTAGACTGTGAACTCTTTTATGCATTTAATTTTATGAAAATTACTTACATTAGAAAAATACATCGACTATTATCATTTTGAAATTGTTTTTTCTCGGTGGAAAATAAATCATTAGGTCACATCAACTTTAAATCGTTTTTATTGCTTTCCAATAACAGTTAACCAAATTATCACTTGGAGTTAATATCGAATGGAAAGTCCTGTTAGGGCAGAGTTCTTTAATGTTGATAAAATTTTGATCAGTAGATATCTGATTCGACTAGAGTTTCTAGATAAGAATTTTTCGTGTATGTAGTTCACCATCTTGATACTAAAGTTTGATTAAGTTTAAGATCGATAAAGGCATATTGGAATAACTAATCACTAGCGCAAATTACTGGTGAGTATTTAGTATATGGTCCAGGCCTTTTAAGATTCGATATACTGGTAATGTATTTACTTTTTGATGTTGTGTTCTCTGAGCTGGATAGTTACTTTACTTTTGCTTTGCTGTTGATTCTTCCTTCGTAGTGATTAGTAGCTACATTCTAGGAGTTCCAGAATCAACTTACATGGATTTTAATTGTTTTTGGCAAACTATGCTAAACTTTGGGATACTGAGAAATTTGTTTTTGTAAGCATTTCTTAATGAATTAACTTATTATTTGTCTTTTGTCGTTAGAATTTGCACTCTGGGAAAATGTTTGTTGGGGGTCGTGCATTTAATTATAAAACTCTCCAAGTATATTACATAATAACATTACAACCAGATGCATTTGTACAAGGAAATGACTACTAGGACTTAATGGTCGTGTAAGGAATCGAAGAGTTAAGTGATGTGTAGTTGTCATAAAAATACTTGGAATAAATATTGCTGAAGGCTTTGTGTGAGTACAATATTTACATCGTCAAGCTTTAAAATGGAAATTCTATACTGCTCCATAATATTGACTACATACATACTGTCACACAGCTGACCAATTAAAAATTACTATTCGTTTGCAGCACACTTGCAACTGCAAGAGAAATACAAAGTTTTGATGAGATACTGATCGATTTAGAAACTATTATGCGCGAATGAAAATGATGGGAACAACTATGTCGAAAAGGAACAAAATCACTTCTTCATCCGATTTTTAGCCCGAATGGTGTCGTTAGTTGTTTCTGGGATTCCTACTACAAAGAAATACCTTGCATGATTGTTGCAACATAACTCAAGCGGACCTGAGAGTTGAACCAGCATGTTTGAATGACAATCGAGATGTATTTGTCAGCGCAGGAGGTTATCTTCCAAACTCTCCACTTGTATTTTGGTGATTTTCCGTATCTTCTCTTAGAACAGGATGCATTATACTATACTACTAATACTAGGATTAAGATACATTCAACTAGAATCCGAAAAATTACGAAAATTTTACCTTATATTCCATGTTTACTCGCCAACCAACAGATAGAAAATTTCCACGAAAAATAATATCGAGCTAACTTATTTCGAGAAACGAAGTTATTTCTTGATAATCAGTTGCACGCGCTTGTCTCGCCATGGTGATCGCACATATCGTCATTCTGCCAACAACGCTGTAAAACCACTATATGATTTTTCCCGTTGCTTCTTAACTGAGAACACCGTGAAAATAGTAAGAAAAATTATATTCACGCAACAAATATATATACCCACAAGAATATGTCACTAAGTACATGATGTTAATTGTCAAAAATGTTAGGCATTATCTTAAAGGTTAAAATCAATTGGTAGACTAGATACCGATGAACATATCAGTGAGTCTTTATTGTCATTCGACCTATCTTTCAGAAATAACTTGCCACCGATGGCCTTATAGCGCTTTGTCTTCCGAGGCTAAAACCACTCACTTTTGTAATTTATCTGAAGATGTGTGGCCATAATTAACCTATTTATATAACACCAATAGGTTTTAGAATTTTGTATTATACATATCTTGAAAGCAGTCATTTTTATCTCATGTAGAATTTGGACGGATGATGTGCTGGGTGAAGAGAGTAATGCATTCTGGGACAGCAACACGTATCAGTGAGGGAAATCAAAATTAATAATCATATGGACGTGCGCAGCTCCATCAGTTCACACTATCTGAAATCCATATCTAGCTGTACACTCGATATTTACCAGCCAGTCAGCATCAAACAAAATAAGAGTTGAGAAGTGCCATGAGTCTTTTGTAACTGTCCCGTGGCTTCCGAAATATGTGAAGTGATCAACGCGTCCGACAGTTGTATTTCCTAATCTTGAATTAAAAGTTAGTGTAGCCAGACGCTTAACATGATTTTATATGTGATAGAAGGGAAGCGTATGCTGAACATACTCCGGGTTTTTTCAATCTTTCTAAAATAGTATGTGAAGGTCAGCTACTCTTTGGGTTGTAATTCTGTCGAATATTTTAAGTGTTATAAGTTCACTCATGAGACGTTTGTATTAAAGAGTTGCATCTAGTATGAAATCAAGCTATGGCTTACGAAATTTGCGGCTTGATTTCAGTTAGCCAGTTTGAATAAGCTGTGTAAGTTCGGATACTGAGTGCTGACTAACGTGATTTACTGTCTTCACAGCATGTCACCATTGTTGGAGTTAAATGCCCCATTTAGATAATGAAATACTATAAGATTCGGTAAGCACTGTTGTGCTCTATAAACTGTTGAAGACTGGAGGAATGACAAACAAATGCTCGTCAGGGAGTAGGTGCATATCACTGTAGAGTAATTTTATTCGATTAAAGACACTTTGATACAGTATTATTTACTGCATCAATAGATTCACGGAAGTAATTCTTTTTCGTTTGAACGGAAACCTATCCTATTATGTTGTTCCTCGAATATTCAAAGTAATACAATTATTGAGTGAGTTAAACTCATAGAATCTTGTAATGTTCTCAGCTGTTGTAACCAATATCAAACCTAGTTTAGCTCTGCTGTCTTTCTTATATATATCCAAACCAAGTTAACTTTTAACGGTTGTCTTTCTCTTTCCTAACCACATTAAGAATGATCACATCAAGAAATATACCTTTATCAAAGTACAAGTATAGCATTTAAAGAATTCCGTGATATTTTGTTACTTAGATGAGGTAACGATAGATTAAATTCAAAGCCGGATCGCGAAAGAATAAAACAGTCCTTGTATGTAATTTCTGAATGTTTTCGGTAGTGTTATTATTAGTAATGGTAATAACAACAGTATCAAGAGTAGTAATCGGTATTAATAATAATAATAGTATTGATTTACAAAAGCTTCAAATAAAGAAAAAAGAAATTAGCCAGTGATTACATAAACTTACTAGTTGAATAATTAGTTCACGAGAGAAAAGGAAAAAGAGGTAAGTGAAAATATTTAGGGAAGTAGAGAAACTGACATCAGAGGAATGCGAAATATGAATGTTTATATATAAATATTCATAAGTTGATACAGTTGAATAAAATACCCAGTCATTCGTAGCCTTGTCAATTATTTGTAAACGAAAGAAAAAAAATACTTCAAGATTAATTTCGAATTAAGAAAAGCGATAACTTGCCTAGTTTCATGATTATTCGAAGAGGAAGTGTCGGTGGAGGAAATTGGAAAAAAATTACAGAAAATGATATCTATGCATAAGGAATATATATATACCAATGCCTGTGACATTATCAATTGAACGTGTATTGCTAAGTGTGTAATAGTTGAAGAATAACAACAGATGGAAAATATAGCTAATATGTGATTTTGGTGTCTGAAGATGTCTGTATATAAATGTCTGAAGATGTGTGTATATACTCGTGTTAATGCTAATAAAATGAGAAAAAAAAGTGTAAAGAATATTTATATGAAACGTTTAATATGCATATCTGAAATGAATTGGTTCACACTTTTTGGACTGCAAACAAAATAATGTGTAAAGAAACCACGATGAGAAAGTGAAGAAAATTGGAAGTTACTGAGCAATAGGACAATCGTAAATACTAGCCTAGCTAGAAGAAAGATTTAAAAGAATTGTCACAGTGGAAAGAGGAGAACAAACAAAATTATGAGGAAAAAGTAAATGCAGGTGAGTAATTGTATTTGTTTTCCTTGGAGTAGATTCTTCATTTTGGTTTATTTATTTGTTTTTACGTTAAAAATTTTCCCAGTTGTTTTCATGTAGGATTTTCAGTGTGCATATACACAAGAGTTGATAGTAGATTTGTATCCAGAAGATATATATATATATAACCTTCAAATAAGTGTACAATCACAGATACATGCCCACACAACAATTAAATACATTAATAACTATCATGATTAGAGGAGACAGTGAATACGTACATACAGACAGGTAACGGAACACAACCAGAGTATATAATTAAAAGAGGAATAAGGTATTCTCATTAACTGACCAAGCAAACTGATGCTAATAATAGTAATAATAATAACAGTGACCAGGACAGAAAGATAAATACAAGATGGAAAGAGTTTGTTTGTGGATAAATGAGCAATTTGGAAAAAATATTTAACATTTTTCATTAAATATAATTTGGCATTCTTTCATTCCTCTGACAGCTATTTCATTTAGTGGTGAAACACGATTATTCGATGCCCACAAAAGAGCATATATTCTGATACATTTCTGTTAGTGTATGTGCACTCGTATTTATTGAATCAAAGCCTAGAAATGCTGTATATGTGGGAAATGAACGTTGGCCTAACCGCTGTGCATATCGGACATGCAATTCAATAATAAAAATGTAACAGTAAAGAAAATGTTATAACGTAAATACTAACAATGAAATATACACAAAAAGGAAATCTTTTCGTTTATTCAAATTCAACAAACGTGAAAGAGTGAAGAAAAAGAAAGCTCGATGAAGTAGTTGATTATCACTTGACTTGGAAGTGACACAAGTTGACTGTAATAATGATGGTTGTGTGATGATGAAAAAGAACTGCAAAAAAATGAGAGGTTTGAACAGCATATGCATTACGTCTTCACACAGGTAACTGTACTAATTTGATACTGTCAACAGAGTAAAGAGTGGACAGAATTATATGAAATGATATCATTCAGTTTAACACATATTTAATTCATAATATTTTACACACACACTTGTGTTGAGAAGTAGAAGAGGAAATAGAAGTATGTATTCGAATGATTTCGAATAG